GAAGCCTCTGATGGCATTCCTAATCCCGCCTCGTTGTATAGGCACCTAAAAATCAGGATCCTCAATCTGGATAGGAGACTAAATTGATGTTTAAGAGTTCAACTAATTCTCTTGGCCAGGCATATGCTTCATGGACCAGGTCTATGATCAAAGACGTCTAATGTTATCCAACTAGCTCTAGTCTCCGCCTCATCAATCCATAGTGCCAAGTCTATGACTTCCTATGCCCTAGTCTCTTGTCTGCCAACCCACAAATGTTGTCCTTATTATTTTGATTAGGTTTCTATTTAAAACCACGACATTTGTGGGTTGCACACAAGAGACTAGGGCATAAGAAGTCAAGGACTAGGCACTATGGATAGATGCGGAGGAGACTAGAGCTAGTTTGCTAACATCAGTCGTCTCTGATTATGGACCCGGTCCATGAAGCAAAGGGTTGACCAAGAGAATTAGTCGGATTCTTTAGCCTCAATTTAGTTTCCCATCCATATTGAGAATCCTGATTTTTATTAGCATAATCAGTGATGCCGGATTTGGCGTGCTATCGAAAGCTTCTGGCAGGGTAGGAATCAACGCTTTGGGTATTACAGATGGGGTGGCAGGGGTCGAATGAAATACGTGAACCAGTAAGGTAGGAGTCGGGTCTTATGGAGCAAGAAGGAGACTCTGATAAGACCTATGGAAGGAGGATTGCTGGGTGAGGGGGTACGAAATACAGCGTGAGGATTGGAGACTTCTCTGGCGATCCGCTAAAAAGGATACACCATACCACATTTAAATAAGCAATTAAGAAATTGTGATAGTGAAGGGGTGATACCAGGATATATGATTTACGATCAATCCATGACGAAAGGAGAGATACCATGAATGTTTAGCAGACAATTGGTTAAAGGATCGGCTTCACTTGTCTCTCTGACGAGTTGTAGTTTGGTGCTAAGACTGGCAAAGCTCACTCACGATGCCGACCACGATGTCTATAAATGTACCGCGCTAACGGTCCGATTCTAGAAATTATCATGCATACTATGGGCTCAACTAGGTGCGTTTCTCTAGGTCTTCCTACCAATTCCAACAAAATTTTGGAATGTCGATATCTTTCCATCCCTTCCAATTCCTTATTTTCTAGGAATGTACAGCAGCCGCCTTGTGATCAAAGTCCCTCAGCCTCTGATTCGCCACCCACACTGGTCTGCCGAATCCCTGCTCCCGATGCTTCTAATGAGCCCTCAACTTCCCCTTTGGGAGCACCGAATGCCAAGCCTTCAACTTCCAGTTTTCCTGCACCTACCTGCACAAATAAAATTGTTGCGCCAACTTTCCGGTCTACTTTTGAAGAAGAATTTCGATTTATTTGTCGTCTTGGTCGAGGTGGATTTGGTCTCGTATTTGAAGTGGAGAACAGGTTTGATGGCTTCCGGTACGCCATTAAAAGGATCAAAATGAGCGTTGCTAAGGAAGAACAAGACAGATATCTACGCGAGGCGAGAGGTATTTCTATTCTCGCTCTTAATTTAATAACATCGGGACCAGGAACTAATGAGACTAAGTAGAATTCTGGTTGATGTAATTATCCAGTAGGGCTCGTAGACAATTATCTTAGAATATTGTCAAAAAAATAAGGGAAATACATATTTCGTGCTAGATAAAAATAGAGATCACTACCAGGATCCTTATGCTGCCATCGTGTAATCTCTCTAAGGAGATAGGCAAATTACTGAGGTGAGACATGAGTCAGAGAAAATAAAAAAATGTCCTCGGTATTATGTACTTTC